CTCACCCAGGTGTGGTTACCTGCAGCTGACCTCTGTTCCTGTGTCCCTGTCAGGCAGGATGATGCTCGGTGTGCAGCTCAAGCATCTTCCCATGCCAGGGAAAGGGCTTCCCGTGCCACTGCTCTTGTTCCAGCTCCACCTTGGTGTCACCCTGACTGAGCCACTGAGTGAGCAGAGACCTTGTGGGAGCATTTAGCCTGGTAGCCACAAAGTGCTTGGATGCTCCATGTGTAAATACGGTCCATCAACCAGTTAATTCAGAGGCAGTGGATGCTCCTCACCATCTCCTCCAAAGCACCCTCCTGAAAAACTGCAGAAAAGAAAGTCTCTGCCATGCCTCAGTGGAGAAGTGTGTGTTGGAGGCGTCTCCTACCTGTGCTCATCCCTCTCCCAGTGGTGTTCCCCTTGCAGGTGAAGGTGGCAGAGCAGAGCACCAGCACCGAGCGCAGTTTCACGGGGGCTCAGTCTGCCTGTGCCAGTTGGTCACCACTGGGGATGGTGATGACCCCTCCTCAGGACCAGGAAAGTTCTGTCTGAGCTTTGCAGCCTCTGGGGTGCCAAAGCTGACCAGCCATGGGACAGGGACGGGGCTGGGGTGGCACCCAGCCGTGCGTTGGCTTCTGCAGGACCAGCACCTGGAGCCCATCAAAGCAAACCCACTGAGGCATATTTAACCAAACACTTACTTTCCATTTTATTCAATAATTGCTTTAATACTAAAATGCATTAGATGCTCAAAGCAGAGAAAAGAAAATCACATTTAGGTGGAAAACAAAGTTCTCATCAGATGAAAAAATCCCAATGTGGCAGGTACACCATTTGGAAACAGAATCATAATAATTTAATAAAGCTGCTTTATCATCTTCATAAAATAGACAGAATGGTGATTCTTCTTTTTTTTTTTTTTCCTTTTTCCATTTTGTTGTTTACAATGATTCAATCACTGTGAAAATGTACATAACATACATATCAGCATATACAACAATTTATTCTTCATATACTCGGCAACGGAGACACCATGACGAGAACGTACCGCGCTCGGTGCCGCGGCCGCCGGGGTGGCTGCTGCTGCTGCTGGGAGCCACTGCTGAGGGAGGGGGGCTGAGACCCCAGCCCAGGGGTGGCTGAGACCCCAGCCCAGCTCAGATCAGCTGAACAGAGCCAGTGGGTGAGAGAGGGGTGTCTGAGACCCCAGCCCAGCTCAGATCAGCTGAACAGAGCCAGTGGGTGAGGGAGGGGTGTCTGAGACCCCAGCCCAGCTCAGATCAGCTGAATAGAGCCAGTGGGTGAGGGAGGGGTGTCTGAGACCCTACCCCAGGGGTGTCTGGAGGCTCTCCCCCAGCTCAGATCAGCTGAACATCAGCTGGCACCAGCGGAGGCTCCATCTCGGCCCCAGCAGAGCTGGCAGTGGGGGCAGTGGGGTTTCTCCCCGGCGGTACCACAGCTCACAGGTTGGATCAGAGATTACCCAGAGCTGCAAAAGCAGCTGTAGCAACAAGACCATCACTTTTCCCCAATGACAGACAAATGTGTTTCCATTCAAAATTAGATTGGTTTTTTTTTTTCTCTCCCTCCCACCCTGCCCTCCCCAAGAATAATTTCAACATATTCATCAGACAGTGTGTTCTTCACAAAAGCAACTTGTTTCCTGTTTGGAAAAATAAAAATTAAAAAAGAAAGGAATTCACTTTTGCACAAAGTGTGATCCACAGGCGACCTCCAGCTCACAACAAACAGGGAACGGCAGCAACCTCAGCAGACAGTGCTTGGAGGGGGGATGTTTCCAGCCATCAGTTGTGCCCCCCAGCCCTCCACCATCCTTCCCAGCACAGCCCTGCAGCCTCGAGGGTGGGAAAGGCCAGGGGCGCCCAAGGGAGCAGGGAAGAGCTCAGCCCCTGGCCCCCAGCCCCAAAGCTGCTCCAGATGGGGTCCTCGTCATGCTCGGGGGAGAATCGTCGGTGCTTGCTGCTCTCCTGGATTAACAGGGGAGCAGAGCAAGTTTGCCTGAAGGGAACCAACAGATCCCAGCGATTTTTCCTAAACCAAATCTGAGGACAGGTTTAAGTTATTAAAAAGCACAATAATTACATCTGGAACCCTTCCAAAAAGCCTTCCTGCCCGCCCTGCAGCTTGGAACATTTTTTGCATGGCCAGTTTCGATGCAAGTAGGAAAAAAACCAAGGGACTGCAATTTGCCCAGGAGCCTGAACTCATCTCGAGTGACACAGAGGGACAGTGACAGGAGTACCAAAATATTCTGGAGAGGGCCAAGGCAGCAAAGCCAGGGCAGCTCTCTGGGTCTCCCCTTGGCCCCGCACAGCAAGGCCATGCCAGGGAAGGGCCCCTCACTCACATCCCCCGCTGCAGCCTGGGTCAGCCCAGAAAACTGGTGTTTAAATGATTTTCTTGGAGGCATAAGGGTTTACTGACCTCCTTAATGCCCCCTTTTAATACAGAATTATTTCACATTCTTTCTCGGCTGTGCTTTTATTCAGAGTGGCAAGGAACGTTTCCTCTGGGTAAATTAGAGAAATGTTTCTATTTTTTCTTTTTTTTTTTTTTTTTTCCTCTCTTCCTTTTCAGTTAGCATCTATTTTTCACCCGAAACACAAGGCTGGTGGTGGCAGCTCCGCAGGCAGGGGGCAACGCTCGGCAGGAATTAAGGCTGGTGCTTTTCCAGGCACCTGGGGACGGTGGTGGGGCACCTGGGGGGACCCCCACTCCCCACCCCACCACAGGCCATGGGGAAGCTGGGTCCCCTCCTGGTAGAGGTGTTGGTGATGATGGGGCCACGTGGAGCCGTTGCCCTGTGAAGCCAAGAGCACCTGACAGATGGGCAAGGCAGGTTCTGTCTCTCCACAAACACACGGGAGAAGTTCCCCCCTCCCGCCAAAAAAAAACCTCCCAGAGCTGACAAAACCAGGTAAGATCAGAATAAACTCAGCTGAACAGTTACAGAACACCCAGTTACTCCAACAGCCCCGAGCCAGCCCCTCTCCTCTTTGCTCGTGTTATAATTAAACACACATTTGGGGAAAAAACCCAGAAATAAATGACAGCAGTAACAGTACACAGGCAGGAAACACAGCGGGAACAGAAACAACATATCCCTGAAAAATGGGCTCAGAATCCAGAAGAGGGGAGAAAACGCCCAGTTTGCTTTCTGGAGGGATGCAGGACATCATGTTAGCACGTGGGATGGGAGCTGAATGAGGTAGTCATCACACCAGTGAGGGAAGCATCACAAATTTCATTAGACAACTGTTTTTTTGTTGATTCTTTCCCAATTCCTGGCCCTAGCAAGTGGCAGGGGGAACAGGCTGACTCTGGACCTGTCTCAGACCAGCTGTGGCTTCAGGCAAGATCAATCTGCCCTGAAGAAATAAATGGCTGGAGTTTAATTTTATTTTGAGGATGATAACAACTGGAACTTGTTTTCTTGTTGTTTTTCATTTAAATAAATCAAGTAACAAATACTTTATCATGATATGTAGACCTAGAAAGACTCTTTCTCTAGAAACCACTAATTTCAACTTGCTGGTACAGCAAACATTGGCAAGAGCTATATATTTTTCCTTCCATAATCAATTTTAAATTCTAGGAAACATTATTGAGGGTAGGAAAAATCTGTTCAGTGAAGGGTTAATAATAATAGCAATAATAATAATAATAATAATAATACACTAACTGAAATCCTTCTACCTTACTCATACCTCACTGAGGAATCATCACTGCAAGAGAGCAGAGAGCTGTGGAATCCCTTCCCTCTCTCCCTTCTACAAAATGGCTATTAAAGTAGCTCAATTTTCAAATCAATTTTACATGAGTAGATTTGTACCCACACAAAAAAGTCCTTAATTATGAGAAAAAATAAAGAATTGCTTTAATTTTTTCTCCATTAAGAAGGCACATTAATTGAATTAGTAGCGTTGTTACGTATCACCTGTCTGCCCCTAAATTAACATCACTATTGCTCATTCCATACTTATTTATGATGCAGGGATAGAAAGAAATCAGAAGGGTCTAAAATCCATGCCATGATGTCATACCTACACACACCCTCTTGGTGTAATCATGGCTAGGAAACGCTGACTGGGAAGTGTGTGTGTCTAATTGAGAAGGTAATTTAGATCTCTTAAAATAATTCCATCTCTTTGACTTGGAAATGACTGGAGGCGAGGGATATCTAAATCTGGGAACTGGAAAAAAACCAAAATAACCAACTTCTGGAAAAAAACCTTTCCATGCATTGCCTTGAAATTATGCAAAAGAAACGGGTAAGGGGAAAAGTTCAGCACAGTGCATCTGACAATTGCAATCCAGGCAGGATTTTCCCAAAAACGTCTTCCCATAATGCCCTGACATTTTCCTGCAGGAGCAGGGAGAGGCTGCAGGCAATGGTGGGGGCTGGAAGAAGCGCTTGCTCCACCGGGGCTGCAAACTGCAGGCTCCCCAAAGTTTAAGTAAGATGATTGTGATTTATTTTTTTTTCTATTCCTTTTTTTTTTTTAAGCCTGAAAGCCTTTTGCCATCACTAGACATACAGTAATTTGCAATATCAAATACAATAATAGTACAGATAAGTATGTGACAGCAAAAGGATTCGTAAATGCAGGGGTGTCCATAGCAAAACACCAACACCTTAAAAGACAAACAACCTCGTGCTGGGTGAATTTGAACTGAAACTCACCCGACTGTCACTTTGAACAGTCCCACACAAGAAACAGCCGCTACTTCGTCCAGACTACAAAACCGCCGGGGTGGTTACTAAAGATGTCCGAATAAGGAATTGGCCACTCAATTCTCTCCAGGAATGGAAATTTATCTTCGTTTTGAGATACAAAAATATATAAACTCCGAGGAGGGGGTACCGAGCGCTCCTGAGGACTGGGGGGGGTCTGGCCTCTGCCCCCGCCACCCGCTGCCTCCCGGCCAAAGCCGAACACCGGCTCCTCGCTCGGGCTGCACACCCCTGCCGCCCTCGAGACACGTGGGATTGTCACATCAACGATAGCTCCATTTATAAACAATACATTTAGGGAAAGCTTTTAAATACAGCAATCTGTGAACCATTGGTAAGCGATAAAAACAATCTGCGCTGGGAGTCGTGCGGTCCCTCATCCTCATCCTCATGCTCCTGTGGCCGAGCGCTGCTCAGAGGACGATGTCCTTTAGTCTCCGGGCGCCGGGCGAGTCCTTTTCCCGGCTTGCCTGCAGGAGCGGGTTGCCCTCCTGCCCGCTGCTCTCGCTGTCCGCGCCCCGGGGCTCTGCCTCGCTGGGCCGGGAAGGGCCACTGTTCCCAAAGGGCTCCCGGCCGCCGGCGCAGTGCCCGGCTCCGTAGGGCGCCGCCGGCTTGCCGGCCAAGGGGCTCTTCAGGTGCAGGGGCGAGGTGACGGGGCTGACGGCCTCGCAGCCGTTGCCGGCCTCGCGGACGGCGCCGCTCACCTTGGGGCTGCAGCAGGCGGCCGAGTCCACCGTTCTTTTGCCTTTGGGGTTGGCGAGGCGCTCCTCGGCCGGGGGCTCGCCGCCCTCCTTGCCGAAGGTGGCGAAGGTCCTTTTGGCGCCGCAGTCCGCGTAAGGCTCCGCGTCCACCGCCGTGGCCTCGATGGACAGCGCGATGACGTTCCTGCCGTGCTCGGGGGACTTGGCGCGGCTGGGCACGGCGCCGCGCGGCATCCAGCACCTGTCCGAGTGGCCCAGGATGCGGCACTCCTCCCGGCAGTGGAAGCCCTCGCTCGGCTCTGCGGGGAGAAAGCACAAGGCACGGTGAACGGGGTGCCCACAGCCTCCAGCCTGCCCGGGCACTGCAGAGGGGATCCTGCCCCAAGCAGCACTGACTGAACCTCAAACAGCCATCGCTTTCGAGGCTCTACAGACTGGAGTTTAATTTCCAGTAGGTTGTGTGTCACCTGTCAGCACCAGCACAGGAGCCTGGAGAAGGAGTGACGGCAGCAAATCCATCACAACAGGGCTGTCCGTGTGTCAAGCCCTCAGAGCCAGTGGTTCCTGGGTTTAGTGGCCAGTGTTAAAAGCCACCATGTTTTAAGCTTGGTTTGACGTGACATTTAAGTTTGACTTTTTGCAAGGAGGGGAAAGGAACAGAGGGAGGAAAGAAGAGGGGGAGGAGGGAAGATTCTTTGTGGCTCTGCTGTATATGTGAGTTTTAACTTGTTGCTTAATCCCCACTGACCTCTCACACAACGGAGGCTTTATAAATCTCCAAGATTGTCCACTCCACTGAAGATTAAATGTGTCATTCCCAGTGCCGGGGCTTTATTCATACAGGAGCAATAAAGATTCCTTCTCTCGACTTGGGGCTGTCGTCCCAACACCACTTTACAGTGCTGAAATATGGACTGGTGGTTTAACCCTTCCCAAGGATCCTCCAAGACCAGGTCCAAGGGCTCTCAGGCGAGTGCAAACCCTGGTGCCCAGGGCCTGTGTGCATTCCTGCACTGTCAGTCAATCCCAGAGGACTGCACAGCTTCACCTCCACATCACAGATGGACAAACCGAGGCTCAGGGAAGCAGCCAGGCTCAGCCAAGTGCAAAGCTGGAAATGAAATTCAGCAGTTTCACCATGCCCAGCCTTTGCTGAGCATCCGACCGTGGCTCCTGCCGAACACCGCAGGATCCTGGCTGCTTTTCAGTCTCGGCTTTTCCTTCATTTGATAAGAGCTTGTAATTGCAGCAGCCCTCATAAAGCACAGCCTTTCCCCACGCAGAGACGGGGCTCCTTCCTCCCGTAACCCACACACGCTGGGAGCAGCACCAAAGCTCCAACGCCATCACCCCCAGGAGCCCACGCTCGGTCGGGGCTGGGCTGATGGATGGAAGGAGCAGGCTCAGCCCAGATTTCCTTCCCTCTGTCTGAAAACCATTCCTTCTGCTGCTCTGTACATCTGTGTGCATAACCTCCGCTCCTCAGACACATTGGTATTTCCACCACATGCGAGCACTAGGGCGGCTGATAAAAATTCTCAGCACATAACACAATGCACCAAAATATGAGCAGCTTAACACTTACAGAGAATAAACGAGTAAAAGGCAGACCTCAAAAAAAAAAAAAGAAGAAAAAAAGAAAAAACCACCAAGAAAGGGTTTTTTTAAAGAAAGAGAAGAAGCCAATTAATTGAAAAATATATGGGTAAAACATCAGCTTTTTCTCTACATCAGAGCAGCAACCCAGTGATGTGGAGCACAGGGCTGGGTGGAGGGGAGGAGGTCTGGGTTTTGGCAGCTGCCTTTACAGCAGCTTGAGAGAAGGATGCCCTGAGCCCTACACACTGAACAACCAGCACTGAGCTCTAAAAGCCCATGATCTTATACTTTGATTCTGCTAATTTCAAGTACTTGAGCAAAATAGAAAAAAAAAAAAAGAAAAATGGCCCAGAAAATATTGCTGTCTCCCTATTTATCCACAGCTTAACTTCAAAAGGGTGCTACAGGCATACAAAGTTGTGTAGTCTGGCTGTGATAGCAGAGGACTTGGTGATGGCTGCAGGGGCTACAGAAATATCTTGGATTCTCATCCCGATGAGACACTGATTTATTGTGCTGTGTGACCTTGGGCGTGTTGCTGGAGCACACATCACTTCAGTCTCTCCACAAACATGAAAAGCTGGATCTGTGAGCGTGCTGGGCTGGCTGGTCCAGCACGGGAAGGCACAGGGGAGCTGCTTCTCCTCACCCTCCCTGCCCAGCAGCACAGCTCAGCCCCCAGTCCATGGGACTGCCATAGCCAAGGCAAACCTCACTCCAGAGGGAGCACAGGCAGGTTGGTCTAGCCTTGACCCATTTATTCCAACTGCCACATTTTACAGCTAGAAACAAATGGAGGACTTCCCTGATTAATGCAAGTGGATATTCCTCAAAGCCTAGAAAGGCACCTGTGCTTTAAGAGCAGCTCACTAAAGGGCCTGGTGCCTCTCTGCCAGGGAGATGATCAGTTTTGGACATTACAATGCTTGCCTAGAACCTGCAGCAGCTGAAATGCAGGGAGGAAAGGAGCTGAGAATCATTACATTAAATTATACTGTTTCAATCTTTTGTATGAGGAAGGGAATGTTAACAAGTCTCAAAGAGGCCAGGCTGACAGACAGAGGGTCACAAGTCACCACCATCCACAGACCTGAGACAACAGGTAGTTCCATGGCACATTCTGCCACTCAGCTTCTGTGCTCAGCACACATCTCAGCTTTGAGACCATGCCCTGCAGCCAGAACCATCCTGCTCTCGGGGACAACACGTGTCCAGGCTGCCCAGAGCAGCCCTGACCTGGCAGCAGACACAAGGACCAGCACAGAGCCCCCAGGAGCAGCCTCTTCAACATGGCAGAACGGGCATCTTCAGCTACCCACCCATCCATCACTGTCTTAGCCCTGTAGCTGGTATAAAATATTATTTTTACGCCTCAAGCAAGGCCTGTTGATAAACACCATTCCTCTGCTGTCCCAGATCCAAAGGCATGCACAGCAGGGTCTGAGCCCCTCCAGTGGCTGAGCCAGGGCTGATCCCTGCATGCTGCTCCCGCCCCAACAGAGGCAGCAGGCAGGGAGCTGCTGGGCACGCTCCTGGTGCTGCCCTTTGCAGCTCAGTCTGACTCACCCAGCTTTGATGGCACCCAGGACAGCCATTCACGTTCACATTCACATTACTGTACTGTTCTGTCTTGTTCTTTACCACTTTAACAATCAGAAATAGAACAACAGGAAATTCTTTTACAGCCCTAGACCTGCCCTAGTCAATACAGCTGTTACTGTCTGCAGTGACAAAATGTTCTTGATGCACGGAGCAAAGCCCAGGTAATAACCACCAGAACCACGACGTGGTGAGTGCCTGGCAGCCAAAGCAGACAGCTCCCACCCCTGTGCTCATGGCAGGGCTGAGCAGGCTGAAACTGCTGCCTGACCAGAGCCAGAGACAGGCAAAGAGAGGGGGAGCAACAGAGGGGCAAAGTGGGGTGAGACCCCAAGCTCTGGCACTGCTCTGTGTGAGCGTGAGCACCTTATCCTGACACAGCCCCCAAGGGCCCCAGTGCTCCAGGCTGGCAAGGACCTGCCAGCTGGAACAGGTGGGGAACACCATGGCCAGGGACTGAGACCACCATGGGCTGGGGAACACCATGGGCTGGGGAACACCATGGCCAGGGACTGAGACCACCATGGGCTGGGGACTGAGACCACCATGGGCTGGGGAACACCATGGCCAGGGACTGAGAACACCATGGGCTGGGGACTGAGAACACCATGGGCTGGGGACTGAGACCACCATGGGCTGGGGAACACCATGGCCAGGGACTGAGACCACCATGGGCTGGGGACTGAGAACACCATGGGCTGGAGAACACCATGGGCTGGGGGCTGAGACCACCATGGGCTGGGGACTGAGAATACCATGGCCAGCGACTGAGACCACCATGGGCTGGGGACTGAGACCACCATGGGCTGGGGACTGAGAATACCATGGCCAGGGACTGAGACCACCATGGCCAGCGACTGAGACCACCATGGGCTGGGGACTGAGAACACCATGGGCTGGAGAACACCATGGCCAGGGGCTGAGACCACCACAGCCCAGGGCATGACCTGGGCTGCACTCTCTAAGGAGCTGAGGACACTGCAAACACAGAGGGGATAGTTCAGTTGCCAGTCAGGCTGTGGGGACACCCGTGGGGGCACCCATGTGGCACCCAGCTGGCCCAGAGACACGCTGAGCAGCTCGCTTGAGGGTAAGTGCCCTATACATATGAAAGATGTGCAGGTCACACTGCAGCAATACCTGTGTTTCAGCCAGACTGCCCTCACCCAGCACAAACCCAGAACTTTGTTTCAGGGCACCTTAGAGCAGGGTCACTTTTAAAACATTCCCCAGGGACAAAACATCCTGGCACAAGCCTTTTTGTCAAGAGGTGAGCAGTTATCCTGAAGTCAGACTTGGCAGGAAAAATGTCATTACTAAACATAAGCTCTTGCATAGCAAATACGAAATAACATAAAATCCACAGCCACCTCTGGAATAAACACGTTCCTCAACAAGTCAACCAAAATCCATGTTAAGCTCCAGATTTCAAATCAGAGCTCTACTTGGAACTCAGAAGACCAGCACAAAGGCAACTTTATGGGTTACAAAGACCATAACTGCTGTGGTCTCAGCCAGGCAGCAGCTGCCGAGGACCAGCAGCTGCAGGTAGACCTGGTGGGAGAGATAAAAATCCCGCACCCAGCCAAGACCCTTGGCACTTTCCAATCCCACCGTGCAAGCTCTTGGTCGGAAGAGCAGGGACACGGGACGGATGCCCAACAGGCAGAGCCCAGCAGGAGCTGGCAGAGGACACGTGGTGGGCACTGCAGCAAGAGCCCCCAGCTCCACACAGCACGGGCTCTTCCCTCATCACAGGGGGATTGAGGAATGGCCCTGGTGAACAAATCCCCCAGTCCCCTGTCCAACACCCAGGTACCTGAGGCACCGCAACGCGGAGCGGGTGCGCGAGGTGCCCGTTCAGCTCCCAGCAATTGAATTATCTCCAGTGGAATTGCAACGCTGGCCAAAGAGACAAAGTTAAATCGTAGCAAGGTGCAAGTGCCTGGGAATGTAATATTCCTGATAAATGGCCAGATGACATGTGCTGTTATACAATCTAAGGTGCAATTTGGGCGATGACAATAGTCCCTGGAGTTTCCATTTCCAAACAGGCGCTCAGTTCAATCCAATCCGTGTCAGAGCAGCTTTGCCACGGTGA